ATATAGGACTAGTCATTGCGCTACAGCACTTCAAGCAGTCGGGCACCTGACCACCCCATATATATGTATAACTGCAGATATGTATCTCCGGCAGCTCCTCCATACAAGCCATCTATACATGAACACCTTCCATAACTTAGGAAAATTTTCTTTTATACATGAACCCCTTCTAAGACTTAGACAATTTTTAACAAATTTTCTAATTAATTTATCTTTATTTTTATAATATTTTTGACTTGTATTTCTATTATTTATAATATTTTAAGTATTTTTACAAGTTTTTAAATAAATTTATTTATTCTGAAAGACAATATTTTGCCTTAGATTTACTATAATATTTGTCTAATGTCTGAAATGTATTTATCTTAACTTTATGCTTATTAATGTAATTTTATTGTTTAATATATATATATATATATATAGTATATATATATATATATATCCCAATCGGTCGACTTATGCCTGACTTATGACTGCCAAATGCAACCGCGACGTTAATGTGATTGGCACCGCTCCGGACAAAACAATGGTCTGACGAGCTTAGAGGGGCGTCGACGGAAACCTGATATCCGTCCGGAGGAGAGGTCAGCAGAATGTCCAACAGGGAAGGTGTATGATCTTCCACATCTGGAATCCACGTAGGCGAAGTAACCAGTTGTGTCAGACCATATGCCAAGGCAAAGTCATAAACAGATCTACCTGTATGATCGGTTAAACGTGAACCGAGCCATACGGCGTGGTGGGCGTTAAAATCGCAAAGGATCACGATGTCTACGGATGGGATCTGCTGTAGCACGGAATCTGTAGCCATTTGGATGCGGTCGATGAGTCGATCTGTTTCGGCATTACCGCTATGAGACCTATCGAGGCACCTGTAGACGCAGAGGTGGTCGTCGCTGTCTACGCGCAGCCATAGGATGGAGAGGTCTGTACCTTCAAGACTGCCGAGAACGTCGAAAACAGATGTCCTCTCTGACGTATACACATATACCAGCCAGGGGCACAAGGGACTGTTCTATTTTGTACCTCGGGTAGGAAAGATATGAAGTATCAGTTGGAGAGGACACGTGAGTCTCGTTCAAAAAGAGCAAGGCCGCCTTTGCCGTCTCCAGATGGTAGTGGACAGCTTTAAGGTTGGAATGAAGTCCCCTGACGTTGCACAAATTAACGTATAGCGTGACAGGGGTTGGTGTTGTTGCTCCGCTTGCCCCGAGCAATTTTAGGCGCGAGCGGAATTGCGCCCCCCACCCCACAGAATACGCGGGACAGCCGGAGCACCCACGCTCAGGAAGAGTTGGATAACTGGTCGTTAATACTCAGTGAGGGATTCTCCGTCACCAGGGGTGCAGGTACCCTCCTAAGGTAGTTTTTAATTGATCCCGCTACCATTTTAAGGGAGGGGTAATTGGGCCTCCGGCCACCAAGCGAAACGCAGAGGTAAATCTCGACTTTATGCTGGTATTCTGTGAGGTCGTGGTACCACCCCGGTTCGAGCCGGCCCATCCGTGCGACAGCAAAAGTTACCGCGTGGCTCTGCCACTGTTACAGGTACATTAGTATACTTTATTATTTGCTGTGACTTTATGATCGTGCGTGCACTTATTTGTTTTATTAGATTTATTGTAAGTTAAAATTAAACACAAACAGTGGTAGAGCCACGCGGCAGCTTTGCTGTTGCACGTATGGGCCGGCTCAAACCGGGGTGGTACCACGACCTCACAGAATACCGGCGTGAAGTGGAAGCTCTGCATCCGCGTTTCGTCTGGTGAGTGCAGGTGGCCGGAGGACCAAATCCCCCCCCCCCCCATCAACATGGTAGCGGAATTAAATGCAATGTAATGATAGTGTGACTGCCCAATAATTATTATTAAATTCAATATAAAGAGTCGTAAAATATATATATATATATATATAAACGTACAGAATCGGTGTTGAGTGGGCTCTATAAGATTGCTATTAAAATTTTTAATGGTGCCGGCAGGTATCGAACTTAAGCTGCTCATGTATGTATACTGTATGAGCTATCACGGCTTTCTTCATTAAAATAATCATTTGTTGTTAACGGTATTAAGTTTAAAGGAAGGACAGATTGCCGAATTAGTAAGACACTAAATAAGCAGGCCCAAAATAAAATACCTATGTACCTATATAATATAATAAAAAATATTACAGGCAGTGAACTTTTAAAGGATGATGATAGCTAATATCTAGATAAGTCAGAACCAAAAATTTAGCAGTCACATTCACCCTCAAATACATACTTTTTTTCTTTATTAAAAAGTTTTGTTTTACGTTTCCAACTTATTCACCGTGCAGCGCGGAGTAGGTATCCATAAAAAAACTTAAAAAAAACTTTTAAAACTACTGCCATAATAGCCCTGAGGAATCCCAATGAGAAAACTTGCAACAGGACATGAAAAACAAAATACTTATACAGAATGGGTCCCACATATATGCAATAAATGAAACCACATACTTGTTATCGCCTTTGCCGACGATATACAAAAAATGAACGTAATCGGTCCAGTAATTAGGTCTAAAAGTAGAGTTTTAATTTTAAGCAAATTTGAACACTCTATAGAATTGGGTCACTAAGTCAATGATTCAATGAACTTGAATCCTTGAACATTAAAAAGCGACGTTGCCACGCAGTGCAAACTATTGGTATTGCGACATATCGACAGCGGTGTCTTTTGTCGGCGTGCCACCCGCGTGCAACGTTGTCACTCTTGGAAGGGGTCAAGGTACGTTGTCTAAACAGAGTGTTCACTTTTACTGAATTTATTTTAATATTTATTTTGTTTGAAAATTTCACTTATTTATTTTACGGGTTTTAATTTAATATTTCATTTTTCTACACTTCTACGGACTAGTATTACTTGTGGTTTCATTTATTGCATATATGTGGGACCCATTCTGTATAACAACTTAAGAGCTATTTAGTAGTTTCATTTTAACCGTTATAGGTAAGTTACCTGACTTATAGGTTTGTAACATAAACGATTTTTATTTTTAATAAATCGGATCTTCATGAAAAATAAATCAAATTTTGTTTAACCTAATCAATAAGATAAGCCATCACTGCTACTAATTCTTAATGCAAAAATATTTTAGTTTACTAGAGGTATGTGATATTAGAGTATACTGTATACAATATGTAACGTAATTAACGCACACCCTCAGACACCCCAATTAGTATATTATGTTATAATCATAATACATACACTGAATTTTTAGTTAAACATTTTTATGCACTGATTATTTATCAAATTAGTTATACTAATTCAGGAAGAATGTTGTGGTCACAGTACAAATCCACGAACGCAAAGACTTTAACGTGCTTGAAATAAAATTCATTTTTCTCTATTTTTATTGAATGACAGAATTAGTAATAATACAAATAAAACTGCACTCTTAAAAGTCTTATTGCCTTAAGCTACGGTCCATTTCAGTTTGTTTTGACTGTACAGATCTAGTGTGACTGTAATTTACGTAGTTTTAATTACTTTTGGGATAAAAAATTACCTATATTAAAGTGATAGGAATCGATTCAGTAAACGATTCTGAACAAACTACTTTCTCAAAGTGCGTTAATTATGTTACATGTTGTTTATCAATAATATGTATTATAATTTTTTTCATTATGAAATATATCAAGCATATCAATTAAATAATAAAAAATAAAGAATTTAGAACCCATTAAAATAGATAAAACATTTAATGATAGAACGTCCAGAGTCCTGCCAGCAGGACTTTTCGTACTACCGGTAGGACGCAATGTTTTTGGTTATATGAGGCTTTCTAGGCCTGCGAGCAGGACGCAATTTACTAACATGCATAGTGTGCGTCTCTTTCTGATTCAGCGAGTTTTTGAATCGTGTTTCCAGTGGTACCAACTTAGAGTAATTTACCCTATATTTAGGGTAAAAGTAATCCAGCAGGGTAATTTCTAGGGTATGAATTTTCCTAGGGTATTACTTTCAATGATATTGTTTTTGAACGCACCCATTACAGATTCCGTGTCGTGAACGCACCGATTGCTTTTGTGTTTCTCTCTAGTCTCCCTTATTTATTGTGTTGCTTGCTTTTTCTTTTCGTGAGTGTGTGTTGTTGTGAAAAATGGCGTCATCTAGTGCTGGCGTTACGCGTTGTGTGAAAAAGTATGCACAAGAAAACTGTAAAGAATGGTAGTATGATCCAAATTTAAAAGGTAAGTCCAGTTTTCTTAGAGCTATAATATGTATTAATCTAATTGAGCAATGAGACTGAGGTTACACAAGCATTATTGTAACTGTTTTTCTTTGATTGTATTGTACTTTGTTTGGCAGTTTGGCTGTTAATATTATTTGAATGTCTTTGGTAATGTATAAGAGTTGCCTGTTGCAAAATTTACCCACATCTGTAGGTATATTTTACGGGTGGTGGTGGTGATGGATAAAGATAAATGCATATTGTGGTGATGATGAAGATGAATGGTGGTGGCGGTGTGGTGGTGTTAACGCTTTGCTTTTTTATTTTTAGATTGGATTTGTCCTGACCCCACTGGTGAAAACTATGCAAGGTGCAAATATTGTAAAGTCACATTAGACAGTAGAGTACAGAGACAGAAGTACAAGAAAGAACTTAACTATCACGCAAAGAGTAAAAAACACAAAAAAGCTGTGTCATTAGATAAAGCGGCGAAGTCCTGTCAGCAATTGCCTTTTGTAAAAACAGTTTCGAAGAATAACAAAACTGCGGAATTAAAAATAGCTGCTTATATAGCTGAACATAGTGCTATTCAAATTGTAGATCATTTAGGTGAAATCCTGCCATGTCTTGATCTGAAATCAGAAGTTCTGGGGACGTTAAAAATACACAGAATTAAATGCAGCATGCTAATAAAAAACGTTCTTGGTCCAGTAATGATGCAAGAAATGATATCAGATGTTGGTGATGCTGCATATTAACTTATTGTAGATGAAACTACGGACATATCAACAGATAAAATTCTGTGCATAATGATACGGTATTTTTCAAAAATTAAGCAGGATATCATTACAACATTTGACAGATACATAAAAATATCTAAATGCGATGCAACAGCCATCTATGAAACTATAAAAAATACTTTACTAGAGGACTCCTTACGTCTTGAAATGCTGGTAGGAATTGGGCTAGACGGTACTAATGTAAGGATTGGTGAGCACCACTCTGTCGCAGTACTGTTGAAAAGAGACTTACCCGATATTATCATCGTTAATTGTACCTGTCATTCGTTGCATTTATGTGCAGAGAAAGCTTCGGAAAGTATGCCCCGTCAACTGGAATTTTTGATTCGGGAATGCCACAATTGGTTCTCGTATAGTTCAAAACGCCTTGAAGCCTACAGGGACTTATACGAAATTATGAACGAAAGTCGAGCTCCTAAAAAATACCAGGATTTTGCGGAACTCGAGCAATGGGAGGAATTAAAGCTTCTTTTCATGATGGCTAAGACTGAAGACAAATGTTTCATGGGAGCAAAATTGTACGACATCATGAAATGCAGAGCTTACCATGCATATTTCACGTTCTTAGATGTTCATCTACGACAAGTTACTAAAGTAAATTGCCTTTTTCAAAGTGATAATGTCGATCCAGCGAAACTGTTAGAAGACTTGTTTTTGCTATTCAAAAATATACTGCAAATTATTGTCATACCTCAGAAGCTTGAAACTGTTACGGATGGAGAATATGCATCATTTGGTTTTCAGGAGCATTTGATGCAATCAGCAATGCATTTTGGCTATACGGTTGAAGAGGCGCTATCGAAACTAGACAGAGTGACAAAGAAGACGTACGTGAGAGATGCAAAACCTTTCTTGTTATTTTGTGTTCCGAATTACAGAAAAGGTTGCCAAAACAGATCACATTCCTTAGTCATGGTGAAGTTGTCTCCAGAAATAGCCACTTCTCAAGTGAAACCTACATTAGTTGACACATTACAAAATGTTCAAAGGGCTGAAGTATATGGTTGTAAACAAGAGGTAGATGTGGATTGGAATAATTTGCAAAACAAATCTTGGAAAAATACGACGCGTTGTACTGATTTTTGGGCTGAGGTTCAGGGGGACACAGACGTTGGGGTAATAAAAGATTCCCTAATGTCTCTAAATTAGCATTGTCTCTTTTGTCGGCGCCTATATCTAATGCAGCCGTAGAAAGGGCCTTTTCTCTATACTCAGTCGTCAAAACAAAGCTTAGGAATAGGCTATCCCTGCCTATGATACAGAGTATAATGACTGTAAGATACAATTTAAACATATTTCACAAATCTTGTGTTAACTTCACTCCTTCAAAAACAATGGAAAGGTTGGACAAATTTAATAATAGCATGTATGACAAAAAAGATAGTGATGCAGAGGATACTTTTATTGTTATGTGCCAATAATATAATAATATGAATAAATAATGTAGTTGTTTTATTTGTAAAGAAGGAAAAGACAAGGATATTTTTTAGGGTATTTTTTTTAAATAATACAGATTCTAGGGTAAATTGAGACCAAGCCTAGGGTAAAGTAAAACCTTGACCTGGCAACACTGCGTGTTTCTGCGATCAGTCATGCGAGTATAACACGTGGTGTCCGCGTTCGCATCAAAGCTACATATTTCGACGAAAATGATGGCCAGAACACCTGGAATCGCAAACATTTTGGTGATAACTACGATATGTTATTGTTGGGGTACTGTAAGAAAGGTAGAAAACAACTATGCTAGGGTATATTGGGAAATTGACAAAAAAAATTCATTGGTGCCCGTTGGAGTTCTGATTGCTGATATCGGAAACGATAATTTATTGGAAGCAAATACTAAAGAAGAAAATTGTAAGTACCTACCTACCAATTATTATTTTATTCATAGCCTTACGTTACAATGAAAAAATAGTACATAGGTCGGTCGCCTGTTCGTTACCATGATTTGCATGGGTTGACAACATTTTTTTTGGATTTAAAATTTTTGGGTCACCACAAAATTTCCTCAAATATACAGTCGAGAACTTAGTTAACTAAGTTTATACCTATAGTCTGACCTTGAAAGCGCCCATATTGCTCGTTAGAGTGGCTGTTTTCAATATGTATATGTTAGAGTGTTTTTTTAAGTGTTTGTGTGGGTGAGTATATAATATATTTGTGTGTAATTAAAAAAATAATTTTAATTTCAAATGTATTGAGTGCACCGTGCACCCCTTTGCTTCTATTGATAGGACTAATAGAGCTTTTTTTTCAGCATCATCTGAATCGGGCTCTTCATCTTCGAGTGAAGATGACGAGACAACTGTTTCAGTCCATCCGACTCCGCGTATGAGCACCGTAACAAATTCTTCTGCTGGAAATACAACCGTTGTGAAGGGAGTCACCTGGAAATCATGGAGCAATACGTGTTGATCAGCGACAAGGCTATTTCAAAGCTACCCTGCTAGTACCACTGGAGCCTGCACGAAGTGTCAAGGATGCATTTTTATGGTATTTCCCAGAGAGAAACTTAGTTACATAGTCCAGTGTACCAACTCTTCATTTCCCCCTAGACAGAAACTGTTGAACGAGAAGGAATTATTAATTTTTTTGGTATATTATATGCTATGACTCTTCAAGAACTGCCAGACCGAAGATCCTACTGGAATACGACCTCCGATGGAATATTCCCCCCGCAAATTTTGGACAAAGGTTTGAAATGAGTCGTCAAAGGTTTGAGATCATTCTAGTGGCCCTGCGCTTCACACAACCGTCAGACCTTGATGATTCTGACAAATAGCGTAACACCAGAACACTAGTAATGATGGTGAATGATAAACTAAAAGATACCATCCGTCCTGGTGCAAAAATTACTGTAGATGAATCCATGTTTGCCTGGTATGGAAGAGGTGCGTATTTCAAAGACGGGATGCCAGCAGTTATGAAAATTAAAAGAAAACCAAAAGGAGTGGGTTGTGAAGTAAAAACAGCGTGTGATAGTAATACAAACATTTTGATGAGATTGGAAATTAATGAGGGTGCTGATACCCTCATATCGATATTCACAACCACATCAGGCAGGACGGATTGGCGTTAGAGAAAGCTTGGGGCACACATAAATGGGAATATAGAATTTATGCCTCAGTTCTGGGCATTATAGAAACAAACGCGTATTTGATTTTTAATAATTTCTTCCGCGCCGAACATGACCAGGTGTCTCGCAGATGGTTTACTACCAACCTGGTATTAGCTCTGACTAAAAATGACGCTAACAACCTACAAGAGAATGAGCCGCCACCACATGAGAACATCCCTCATAGCGGAGAACACATTCTTGAAGCCTTGTCAAAATCAGATGACAGAAAGAGAGTACAACGCAGTATATAGTTTGTTCGAGAGTCCACAAGAAACAGCAGAAAGCGAGCTATTTTTGCAAGACATGTGGTTTGCGATGTATTTTATGCTCTCCACAGACAGGAAGAAACTGCTTCACCTACCACATCACGAATGAAATTCCTGCATAACTTTTTTTAATAAATATTTTTTTTCACTAAGTTCCTTTCATATTCTTGTTTATTTTTCTACCCCGTAATATCAAGAAGCGCCCGCGTCTATTCCTAGATACATATACTAAATTACAGAATGTTTGTCGCACCTGCCTAATTTTATTAGTCAAGTACTACTAGAAGGACAGCCTCTGATATCCATAAAAGTCACAAAATATTGCGTACTGCTAGCAGGACGCACGTCCCTAGGATTGTCCTTCCGGAAGCTCCTTCCAGCAGGACTAGGGCTTGGACGTTCTATCATTAAGAAACATAGTACTTAGTTACATTAAATAACATAAAAAATATCATTTAACTTTTTCCTTCCCCTTGTCTAATCTTTCTTTCAAACCATCTCTCACGATTTTATGAAACGAAAGTAAAACTACTGCCATAATAGCCCTGAGGAATCCCAATGAGAAAACTTGCAACAGGACTTGACCTGGACTCTCAAGTGACCCACAGTTCAAAAGTGATAGCAATTTTCCGCTGAATCCAAACACAGAGTACACTTTTCCATTCTGAAACAGAAATTTTGTTCAATAAATAATTTTCTCGTCTAAAATATGAAAAAAAAAATAGTCAACTTTTTAATAGTATTGTTCTTTTGCAGATCCCGTTCTACTATTATAACTCTCTATATCGTCAATCCCATCCATAAAATCTGGGGGATGAAAATCCATATTTTGTTCTGCAGCGAACCCTGAGCATACCCCGTTCCATACTAAGTGACACTGAGATTCCCCTACGTTTCAATCACTAGGTGGTAAAGTTCATTTTCTGCCTGGGAGTCAACTTAGCAACCTCTTACCAATTAGCTTAGATAAGCATCAGTTGGCAGTTGTGTTCCAGTTAACAGATAAGAGAATTGTACAATTACAGGCTGTGAGGCATTTCGTTTGTTTCGTCGAATGTGACAGTGTACCTGTAGAACTTCGTTGCATGTATCCTGTGGTCACTTATCATTAGGTGGACTAGTAGCATATTTGCAACTCAAATATTGTTTTAAGTCATTATTGCAAAATGTATTTTAGATACATTTTTGATTATATTTCAAACTTATTCCTACTACATAAATACCATTACAGCCTATAAAAGTTCGATGCTAAACATAGGCCTTCCCATAGATTGCCTCCTAGAGGGGTTTGCCATAGTTGCCACATTTGGCAAGTGGGTTGGCAATTGCAGTTTTTTTTAGTCGTTATTAGGAAGACGCTGCTGCCCATCTCCTGATTTGTTTCCCTCTGTCGCCTCTTACGACAACCACGGGATGATATAGGGTAGTAGATATTCTTACACTGCCACTACACATTTGTATATAGGCGAAGAGCAGCAAGCTACTGAGACCATATTTACTCATAAAATATGGAATTAAATGAAAAATTATAAAAAATGTGACACTTTCAAGAATAGATTGGATAAAATCTTCAAACATTAGACACGCATCAGCTTTTAGCTGCCAGTGTGTTAATGGATTAATAATATTTTTTTAATGTTACCTCCATACTAGGAGATTCTCCTATATGGTGGGGACAGTTTAACAATTATTAGTAGGCCATATAAATACATATTTGTTCTGTGCGGGATTCTAACCAGCGGCTCCCAGTGCTGCAACTCATCCACTGCGCTACGGAGCCATCAAAATAATAATAATAATAGTGATAGGGATTCGGAAGGTTCTACAAGGCTCTTCATGAACCTTTCTTTTTTTATAGAATAATGGTAACAAACAAGCACACAGTCCACCTGATGGTAAGTGGATGATGTGGCCTACAAACATCTACATTTAATATCGATTAAGAATCAAAATGCAGATTCTTTGTCACCCCTGAGGACTAAGATGGAATGCATCGATACCAGTAAAATGGGTCTCTGGTTCTTTACACTCACCATACGTAATACAGCAGCATTAAGCTGCTGCTATTTTATGTTGGTATTCTGTGAGAGCGTGGGCCTTCCCGGGTCGAGCCGACCCATTCATGCTGCAACCATAATTTAGGTGCAGCATGGCTCTACCACGTATAAACAGATAAACCTTTCGTAGATACAGTCGCCTCCCACAACTGGCTACGTTTCAGTAACCTCTTTGGGGAAATTGAGGTTTTTGTGTGTGCGATACAGAATCAGGGTATTCAGACCAACAAGTATCGTAAATGCATCCTATAGGATAGCGCCGTCGACATCTGTCGAGCTTGTCGCCATCCCGGTGAGTCCACTTAAGCATTTCATTTCCGGTTGTTCAGTGCTTTCTAACTCTGAGTAGTACAGACATAACTTAGTAGCCAGGAGTATACATTAGGAGCTTACTCTGAAATACGGTCTCGAGGATCGGAAACTGTCTTATTATAAGTACTTGCCGTAAGCCGTGCTCGAAAATGACTGCGCCAGGCTCTACTGGGACCGGATCGTCATCACAGACAGGAATATTTTGCGAATAAGCCTGATATTGTGCTGATGGACCGGGTACAGTCAAGGATAGTTTAGTTTACAGCGGGCTGTTTTCCGCAACTCCACGTCTAAGCGCGTATTTTTCGTGTGGGCAGGAATAATACGCTTATTCGAGCCATGATATCTCCCCGAAGAAGCTCAGCAGTCCCTTGATGTTGCAAGCAACTTCGGGGGAGCGATCCCGGCGTGCCGAGATGTTTAGCCCTGTATGAAGCGACTTCTGGACATGTCAGCAACACGTGAGCCGCCGTTTCTTCCTCTCCCATGCATGCCCTGCACAGGGGGCTGTCAGTAACACCTATGGTGAACAAATGTTTGTTAAAAGAGCCATGTCCTGTGATAGCACTTGTTACTATCCTGATCTGTGGCTTGTTCAGCCTCATTAGAACCTTGGTTAGACGACTGTTTATTTCAGGTAGGGCCTCCCTAGCTTGTCTACAGTCTACTAAATTTTTCCAAAGCTGAGCGTGTAAATTATTGAAATATCTACGTACCAGTGAACAAAGGTAGCCAAAGGGGATTGGTATTATTGGTTCCGGCCCTATAGTTGCTAGGGCCGATCCCCTTCTGGCCAGTTCATCTGCTGCATCGTTGCCTCTAGATCCACTGTGTCCCTTGATCCATTGCAGAGTCACATTGTTGTGCTTACATACCTCATTCAATCATTGATGGCATTCGTATATAAGTCCCGAATTCGTCACATTGCAACTCAAAGCTTGTAGTACCGCCATACTGTCGGTCAGTATTCTGATGGAGAAGTCTCTCACCTTCCTAGCATCTATTGCTATGGCCGCTTGGATGATACCCATGCATTCAGCCTGGAAGACTGTGTTGTGATATTAAGGTCTTCAGAGAAAGCCCCAGACCCCACACCTTTATTTGTCTTAGAGCCATCCGTGAAAACTTTGAGCTCTCTTGGACCCAATCCTTCCAGATGGTCAGTTTCCTTCAATTGTATCCTGTACTTCTTATCGAATACAAATTGTTTTGGGATCCTATCATACTTGGCTTGTAAGATAGGAATTTTTGAGTTAATTCTATCGATTATATCTGTATGGGGGACTCCACTCTTACTTAAAAGATTTAGGGTCTTGAGTCTAATGGCAGCTAAAGTTGCTTCTTGTTGTATATGTAGATGAAGCGGTGTTAGCTCCAGCTTAGCCTCCAAAGCTGCTGTTGGTGTAGTCCTTATGCAGCCCGTGGCAGCCATAAAAGCTAATCTCTGGTAACGCTGAAGCTTTTGTATAGTGGTGGCTTCATTGGTTTTGGTCCACCATACCAGAGAGCCATATGTGATCATGGGCCGAATTACAGTTTTTTACAGCCACAGTATAATTTTTGGCGTTAAACCCCATCGTTTGCCAATCATGTTTCTGCACTGCCAGAAAGTTAAACTAGCTTTGCTGATTTTGTTTTCTATGAGTTTGTTCCAGTTAATTTTACTGTCCAAGGTAAGACCTAGGTATTTTACTTTGGAAGAAAGTTGGAGTTTTGTATTGAAAAGACTGGGAAGATGATAGTTACTCAGCATTCGTTTTTGTGTGAAAATTACTATAACGGTTTTATTTGGATTAACGGTTAGGTCATATTCCCTGCACCATCTCTCCACAATACGGAGAGCCGCTTGGGTCAGGTCGCACACAATGCTTGCTGTCAAGGATATTTTTGGTCGTCATTACTATTCCATATGACGAAAACCTCATGGAAGCCGAAACAGATAAGCGAACAAAATATCTGAACCTGACTTACGAGGTGACCGACATGTTGGGTGATCTGCCGACCGAAATTGTATCTGTAGGCGTTTCTGCGATAGGGCTAATCCCGGTCAGCCTCTCAGGTCATCTGAGACAACTGGGACTCTGTGACAGACCGCTCCGGGCTTAAATGCAGAAGGCGGTGCTCCTTGATACCGCCCACATTATCGGACGGATTCTTTCTCTAACCCTCGGCCATTTGGTCTCCCTTACCAAGGGCTTCCATCTAGTTGGATTTTTATTTGTTCATATATTTTTTATTTATTTATTTTATTTTACTAATATTTATGAATTTGTATTCATTTATATACATATATTATGATAGGTCCAATCCAAAATCCAATATATTT